TGTGAGATCGATCGAGTGAGATCGATCGAGCGAGACCGATAGTGAGATCGATAGTGACACCGATCGAGTGAGACGTTGGTTCCTCTCCCGCGAACCTCATTATCATCCGAAGGGTGGTCGTATAGGTGTGTATATATATGTATGTATGTATGTATGTATGTATGTATGTATGTATGTATATGTATATGTATATGTATATGTATGTATGTATATATATATATATATATATATATGCGTAGGTCGGGGTGGTGGCCGGGGCTGGTGCCATCATTCATGGGCGCCCCCAGGAACCTTTGGGGGGGTCGCAGACCCCGTGGGACTGCCCCGGGCCGCTTCCAAATTGCCCACGACAGGCCACGTGGGCCGTACAGATGGTCAAGACAGCCTCAAGAGGCCCCGAAGACGCCCAAGAGCGCCCCAAGAGGGCCCGAGATGGTTTCAAGATGGCCGGCGAGGGCCCCAAGAGGGCCTTCAAGGGGCAAAAACCAGCCCGGCCCCGTAGTAATATGTATGTATGTATGTATGTATGTATGTATGTATGTATGTATGTATGTATCTATGTATGTATGTATGTATGTATGTATGTATGTATGTATGTATGTATGTATGTATGTATGTATGTATGTATGTATGTATATATATACACACATATATCTATTCAGCATGCTCGCTTGCTTCGTCTTCACAGTGCCCCAGACGCCCCCGCGGAGCCCCAACACAGCCCAAGAGAGACCCAAGAGGGCCCCAGACAGCCCAAGAGGGTCGTCCCGTGGGGCTCGCTGAACCCCCCGAGACGGCCCAAGAGGCCCCAAAGCCGGCCAAGGAGGCCCCCAAGACGTTCTCAGGGAGGCCCAAAGAGGGCCTCGTTCGAAATAATGTTCTCGGAAGCCTCTCCGGGAACATGATTTCCGGGTTCCGAGGACGCCCAAGAGGCCCACATGACAGCCTCAGCGAGGCCCAAGAGGGCCCCAAGAGGACCCGAGATGGCTTGAATATGGCCGAAGAGAGCCCCAAGAGTGCCTTCAAGAGGCACAAATCGGCCCACTCCCCTCGTAAAACGTACATATTCGGCATACTCGCTTGCTTCGTCTTCGCAGTGCACCACAAGAGAGACCCAAGAGGGCCCAAGACAGCCCGAATGGGTCGTCCTGTGGGGCTCAGGGAACCCCCCGAGACGGCCCAAGAGGCCCCGAAGCCGGCCCAGGAGGCCCCCAAGACAACCTCAGGGAGGCTCAAGCGGGCTTCGTTCGACAGCATGTTCCTGGAAGCCTCTCCGGGAACATGATTTCCGGGCTCCCAGGACGCCCAACAGGCCCACATGACAGCCTCAGCGAGGCCCCAGAGGGCCCGAGATGGCTTGAAGATGGCCGAAGAGGGCCCCAAGAGGGCCTTCAAGAGGCAAACACCTGCCCGTTCCCGTAGTAAAACGTACATATTCAGCATGCTCGCTTGCTTCGTCTTCACAGTGCCCCAGACGCCCCCGCGGAGCCCCAACACAGCCCGAGAGAGACCCAAGAGGGCACAAGACGGCCCAAAAGGGTCGTCCCGTGGGGCTCACGGAACCCCCCAAGACGGCCCAAGAGGCCCCGAAGCCGGCCCAGGAGGCCCCCAACACGGCCTCAGGGAGGCCCAAGAGGGCCCCGTTCGGAATCGTGTTCCCGGCCTCTCTGGGAACATGATTTCCAGGTTCCCAGGGCCTCCTAGAGGGCCCCAGGACAGCCTCAGCGAGGCCCAAGAGGGCCCGAGATGGCTTGAAGATGGCCGAAGAGGGCCCCAAGAGGGCCTTCAAGAGGCAAAAATCAGCCCCTCCCCGTAGTAAAACGTACATATTCAGCATACTCCCTTGCTTCGTCTTCGCAGTGCCCCAGACGCGTTTGAGGAGCCCCAAGACAGCCCAAGAAAGACCCAAGACGGCCCAAGACGGCCCAAAAGGGTCGTTCTGTGGGGCTCCCGGGACCCCCAAGACGGCCCAAGTGGCCCCGAAGCCGGCCCAGGAGACCCCTCAGACGGCCTCCAGGAGGCCCAAGAGGGCCCCCGGACACGCCTAAGATGGCCTTAGGACGGCCGACGACGCCGCCAAAACGCCCAAAGAGCGCCTCCAGAGGCCCCTCCAAAGTCGGGGGAACGTAAGACTCGGGTAAGCCGGAACTCGGGTTTGCCGACTTTTTTTGACGAGCGCGTCCTGGATTTTGACGGTCCAGTTTTCGTGGGATGTTTGCAGTGGGAGCTCGCGTCAAATTTCAGATTGCGTCTCGTCATTTTTCTGATGGACCCCGTCAGGCCAACCCGCGTCCCCCGTACCCGAGTCTTGCGTCTCCCCGACAAAGGGCCCCAGAAGTCGAAAATCATAAATGTTCCAATGGTTTTTAAAGCATTCTTGCGCTCTCCCATGTTCCGCCTCCCCACGGTCCCGTACCGCGTCAGAGGCCCTTCAGATCGCTCCAAGACGGCCGAAGAGGCTCCCAAGAAAGCCCAGAGACGGCCCAGGAGGCTCCCCAGATAAGTCAAGAGGGCCTCGAGAGCGCCCCAAGAGAGCCCCAAGAGCGACCCAAGAGGGCCCGAAGAGCGCGACATTTCAAGGTCTCCGGCCTGAGAGGCTCCTAGGACGCCCCCGGAGGCCATCAAGAGGCTCCCAAGAAGCCCCGTGAGGCTCCCAAGAGGCCCCCCGGAAGCCCCAATAGGCCCCCAAGGGGCCCCCAGGGAAGCCCCCTGCGGGCCCCCAAGACACTTCGGTAAATCGTATTTCCCAGATAGCTTTCCGGGAACATGATTCCTTGGGCTTCCGCCCACCGCCCCAACCATGTTTCCAATAGGCTTGCCGACAAGGCCAAAAGGCGCCCCTCGGTAAGCCCCCAGAGGCCCCCCTCTTAGAGAGCCGAACAAATCATGCTCCCGGAAAGCTTCCCGGGAACATGATTCTCTATCTCGGAGTAGGCCCGGGGGGGGGGCGGGCCGCTGCCTGTTCCCCCATCGGTGCCCACCGGGGGTTGCGGGGGGGGTCCAGAGCTCCCGAGGCGGCCCGAGCCCGCCCCGAAGCAGGCCACGACAGGCTAAGGGGGTCCCGAGAGGGCCCAAGACGGTCCCACGAGGCCCCGAAGACGCCCAAGATGCCCTCAAGACAGCCGACGAGGACTCCAACACGCTCCAGGACGGACTCAAGAGGCTCCCCAAGAGGGCCCTGGAAGGCAAGATTCGCTCGTTTTCCGAGTGTTTTGGATTTTGGCGTTCTCGCTTTTCCCGCTTTCCAGCGCTCCCTCACGGCCTCGGAGGCCCTTCAGATCGCTCCAAGAAGGCCCACGAGGCCCCGACGAGGGCCCCAAGACGGCCCAGGATGCTCCCCAGACAACCCAAGTGTGCCCCAAGAGCGCGCCAAGAGAAGGCCCAGAGGGGTCCCGAGGCGGCCCGGGCCCGCCCCGAAGCAGGCCACGACAGGCTAATGGAGGTCCCGAGAGGGCCCTAGACGGTCCCAAGAGGCCCCGAAGACGCCCAAGCTGCCCTCAAGACGGCCGACGAGGACTCCAACACGCTCCAGGACGGACTCAAGAGGCTCCCCAAGAGGGCCCTGGGAGGCAAGATTCACTAATTTTCCGATGGTTTTTGAAGGATTTAGGCGTTCTCGCTTTCCCCGCTTCCCAGCGCTCCCTCACGGCCTCGCTCGGAGGCCCTTCAGATCGCTCCAAGACGGGCCACGAGGCCCCGAAGAGGGCCCCAAGACGGCCCAGGAGGCTCCCCAGACAACCCAACTGTGCCCCAAGAGCTCCCCAAGAGAGGGCCCAGAGGGGGACCGCCAACCGATATTTCGAGGTCTCTGGCCCTAGAGGCCGCCTGTAGGCCCCCGGAGGCCACCAAGAGGCTCCCACGAAGCCCCGTGAGGCGCCCAAGAGGCCCCCAGGAAGCCCCAAGAGACCCCCAAGGGGCTCCCAGGGAACGCCCAAGAGGCCCCCCAACACACCCCAAGAAATCATGTCCCCAGAAAACCTTCCGGGGACATGGTTCATCATGGGCCCGAGAGTTCCCGGAGGCCCCCAAGGGGCCCCCAGGGAACGCCCAAGAGACACGTGAGTCTCCGGAGGCTTCGAAGTACCATCATGCTACAGGAGAGCTGTCTGGGAAGTTGATTGGGAACATGACTGATCGCCTTCTCGCGGCCCTCCGCAGATCGTTTCGCACAAAGTTGCCCCAAGTGCCCTCTTGAACCGACGACGACGACGACGACGACGACGACGACGACGACGACGACGACGACGACGACGACGACGACGACGACGACGACGACGACGACGACGACGATGACGACGACGACGACGACGACGACGACGACGACGACGACGACGACGACGACGACGACGACGACGACGACGACGACGACGACGACGACGACGACGACGACGACGACGACTACGACGACGACGACGACGGCGCGCCCCAATAGGCGACGACGACATTACGCCGATGACGACGACAACGACGGCACGCCCCAACAGGCTACCCAAGACGCCCCCAAACCCATGCTCCCAGAAGGCCTTCTGGGAAGCCGATTCATGCGGCCTCCGCCCCCCTACACAACCATTTTCCTCGAAGGCCTTTCGGAATGCAGATTGGCATGCGTGGACTGTGGTCCATTACTTCAGCGGAGCAATGAAATCGTCAAGGTCTGGGGCCTGCTAGAACCTGAGCGCGCGCGAAGCGCGCGCGCGATGGTTCTAGTTTATATCTATATATGTATATATATATACATACACACACCACTATAGATCACCATATCTGTACATATATATATATATATATAGATGTATGCATGTATATAAATAAATAAATAAATCAGTACCTGGCCTCTGGCCCCTTCCCTGGGCGGCTCTTGGCCCTGCCCGGTACGTGCGCTAGGCTTTCACAAATTGCTCCCAGGCGGCCCGAGGTCGCCGAAATATCGTTCCACAACGCCCAAGATCTCAAGACGGCCCAGGTGGCCCCCGAGTCGCCCCAAGAGTCCCCCAAGAGGACTCCCAAGAAGGTCCGTGGCCATTTGGGCTGAAGCCCTGCATGTTGCCCAGCGCACTCGCTGAAGGTTGTGCCAACCCCCCCTCAGTTCGGCGGCCCGCCATGCCGGCGCCGCTCGTCACTCCGACTCCGAGGCCCGTGCCCTTGCAGGGAGGCGCAGCTGGGAGGCACTCCAGCTTCCTGGTGCCCGTACTTCGGGATCCGATCCCATTCCAGCCCCACAGCGAGATGGAGCCGGGAGATGCGCTCATCCAGCACAAGCGCAGCCTCCACTGGGTGCGAGAGGGGTCCGACAGCACCCGGCCGAGGCGGCAGCGGCAGTTCGAGGAGGAGGAGGAGGAGGAGCCCAGCAGCGAGTCGTTCCAGAGTATGGTTGCAGAGGCCAGGGCTCGGTCGCAGCGCATCCACACTGACAGCATGGACACGGATGGGACGAACAAGTTTGTTGAATGGAAAGTGGCCCAGCCCTTCGTGCGCGACCTGTGCCTCGATTCTGGCATGTTCGGTTTCGAGAAGGGCGATAAGGCGGCTCTCACGGCGGAGGCCTTGTCGGCTGTTTTGGAGCTCGAAGGGCGGGCATACGATCACTGCATCATTCTAGGCAAAGCTTGGGCGAAGGACTCCTTGGAGGTCAAATTCCATGCGGACGGCCAGATCGTAGACGTCAGTGCAGAGCACCTCCGCAAGATCAACAGGACGGAGGCAATGGCGCTGGAGCATCGGTCGAAATTAAACAGGGCTGGACAAATGGTTTTATCGCGGAGTGCCTCCCTCACAAACATTCCTCCAGCAAGCGGGATCTCACGCTATGGGCATAGCGTTGAATGCGGCTTTTCCGCGGCCTCCAGGCGGATCTCACGAGGCTCCCAGGCGGCTCTCCTTCTCACTGAGCTCCCCGTCTGATTGTTTTCAGTGTACTGCATAACTCTCAGACTCTAAATGCACCATCGGACTTTCAATTTCTGTTTTTTTGCTGAGGATCCCTTTGGCAGCGGTGCAGCTGCAGTCTGGTCTGGGGAGCCCACGGTGTTGTGCCATGTAGCTTACTTTTGTGGTGAAGGCCACCTTGAGGCATCTGCAGCGCAGTGCCAATTGCCACTCTGCATCGCTCGGACGTGTGACTTTTGGCCTCGGCGGGGACGATCGAGGAGCATCCTGGATCACCCGGCACGGTGCACGCACGAACCGACAGAAGCCCCAGGCATGGACGCCCGAGCGACGGCAATCTGTCATCCTGCCTCGAGCGATCCCCGCTCGAGAGCGCGAGGCGGAACCCCCAAGCAGCACGGGCACATCCTCCTCCTCCTCCTCCTCCTCCTCCTCCTGCCCCTCCTTCTCCTGCTCCTCCTCCTCCTCCTCCTCCTCCTCCTCCTCCTCCTCCTCCTCCTCCTCCTCCTGGTATGGAGTCGACGGCCGCGTCCTGCAGGCGCCGGTCGTCGGAGGCGCGAGGCGGGATCCCCAGGGAGCAGCGGCGCGGCCTGGGCCATGGGCCCGGCGCGGCGCGGCAGGGCGTGCGGATCGGGTCGGGGGCCTCGTCCTCCGGCCTGCCGGGCGGCGAGCGAGGCAGGAGGAGAGAGGCCTGGCATCGCTCGGACGCGCGCCTGGCTTCTTAGGAGGGCGCCAACTGTACACCAGCACCGATCCTGGCCAGGATCACCCTGGGCCCAGGGTCGGTGTATACGCCCTCCTGCCTGGGGCAAGAAGGCATATACACCGATCCTGGGCCCAGGATTGGCCTGGCCAAGATCGGTGTTGGTGTATAGTTGGTGCCCTCCGATTTCTGTCGGCGAGGGCCATCGAGGAGCATCCGTGCTCATGTGGCGAAGGAGCCGCGCAACAAGCAAGGAAGCAAATGCTGAGTACGAAACGCACTTGAGCACATTTTTTTTCTTCTTATTTTTTTTTGGGGGGGGGGGGGGGGCGGAAGGCCCAAGCAAGCAAGCAACTGCTGAGTACGAAACGCACGACACCGACGAGAGCGCAGGGAGTGGACGTCCGAGCGACGGCCAGGAGGAGGTGCAGGCTCGAGGCTGGGGCTCCCAGCGCCGAGCTCGGTCTGGGCGCCTCGGGCCTCGCGGCCTCGGGCTCGGGGCTTTCGGGCGCGTGGACGGGTGGACGGCCCGTGGCTCTGCGCTCGTGCCTCGGCGCCGGGCTCGAGTCGCAGGGCCGAGGTGGGTTTCAGTCGGGCCTGTCCCTCTGGAGGAGGGATGTTCAGAAACAGTTGAACCAATAGTCCGGGGACTATTCTTCGCTTATTTGGGGGGGCATTCGGGGAGCATCTGTTGGAGTCTTTCCATTTTTTTCGCCCAGAATCCCCCTGTAGGGGGGACACGCCCGACTTAAATCAGAGCGTGCATTACCTACCCCGCTTTCGCTTCCAGGCAAAACCCAGTCATACCACGCGCCTCCTCGTCAGGCGGCCTGACCAGTACAGGCCGTAGTTTGGCATCGTTTGGTATCTCTTGGACGCGAGGGTGGTCAAAAGCGAGGCAGGCTTGTTCGCCCCCTATTGAAGATGGGCGGGAGGTGCAGGAGAGGCCGCTGAGTTTTCACGAGCCGCTCGGAGCGCGGAGCGCCCCGACGGCTCGCGCGTTGCCACGCCCGGCCCGCCCCGCCCGGCGCCCCGGGCCTCGGAGCGGCGCTCGCACTCGGGCCCGCCGCAGGGGGGGGGCCCCGGGGGAGGTGTCAAACGTCGCGAAGATCGGGACAAAATCGGATCGGGATAACTCGAAATCTCTGAGAATCGGCGGGTTTGGAGGATGTATTGGGCGCCGCGGCCGCTCCAGAGCGTTCCGGAACGCTCTGAGAGCGCTCCGGAACGCTCTGGAGCGATTTATCCCGATCCTAGCCCTGTTTTAAGGTGTCCAGACCATCGGAGTCGGTTTTCGTCCTGCGCGAGCAGATGAGGGATGAACGGGGCGGGGTGGGGGTACAGTCAAGACGCTGAGATACAAGGAACAGCTGGGGTTCGGAAGGGGCTCGACATTTCCTTAGGCTCCTCCAGCGCTGCTCCTCCTGCCCCCCTGGGGCACGGAGGCGCCTACGGGGCCAAGGAGGGGCCTCGTTCCTTGTTTGGCGCCCTTCCTCTCAGCGGCCCGACTGCAGCGGGGATGGCTGCGCGCACGCGTGGCTGTTTTTTTTGCGGCGAGGGAGGAGCACGTGGCCCCAGGGTGCCCCTGCATCCCGCTCCACGAGGCGGGCGCCGTCACAGTTTGGCACGTGGGCACTCCCCCCTCGCGGGTGCCCCGCTCCCCGGAGCTCGTCGCCGCCGTCGAGCGGGAGCCTGTGGGAAGGCTCCTGGCACGGCATGGCAGGAGGGAGGGCAAGGGAAAGCGAGGCGGGAGGGAGGACGGGCCAGGAATCGAGATGAGTCCGTTTCATTTTGTCTCCACTCTGCATGCCTCTTGGCTCGAGGGCCCAAGTTTTTGGCCTCCCCCGGGACCCAAGCGTCCCATCCTAGGTTCCCAGAGGGTGGGGCTGGGCTCGCCGCGCAGGGCAGAGTGGAGTCCTTGTCCTCCCAGCCTTAAGTCAGGCTTGTCCCTCTACAGAAGGAATATTCCAACATAGTTTTGAAAAAGTATAGGGACGAATTTCGATTATTTGGATATATATATATATATAAACATATATATATATATATATGTATACACACATGTATATGTTATATACATGGCTGCGCACCGGGCCTGGGGGCCGAGGGCCGGAACCTCGACGGCAAATGTGGGTCCGGGGGCCCTGGCCCGCCTCTGGGAGGCTTAGAATCGCCCAGGGAGCCCTCAGACAGCAATCCCGGCGGCCCCAGACTGTCTCGAGACACCCCCAAGACGCCGTCCAGGGGTGTCTGGCGATGCACGCGATGCGTTTTAAACTCCCCTGGAGGCCCCCAAGACGCCCCAAGAGACCTTTAAGATGCAAACCAAGAGCGCCCCGGGAGGGCAAAATCGTTGATTTCCATATGTTTTTCAACAGTGTTTTTGCATTCTCGCTGTTCCTGTGATTTCAATCGTTGGTTTCATGTGTTTCTGGCGCTAAAGCACCGCCCAAGAGGCGCCCCAAACCGCGCCAATACGGCCCAAGAGGCCCCCAAGCGGGCCCCGAGACGGGATCCTTGGCGAGTAGTTCCCGCTTTTCATTATATAGTTGAGTCGAGCCGCCATAAATCCCGCCCATTAAAAATAGAGTCCGGATAAATCCCGCGGTGGGACCCAATCCCGCCAATATATGACGTGTTCGGGTCGTCTTGAGGTCATCTTGAAATCATCTCCAGGTCATCTTAAGATCACGGTGCTGTACTCTGGGAATGCTCCGGCCACCTCGGGGTCGCTCTGGGGCCACCGCGCCTGGTCTCCAGGGCATCGTATTTGGGCCATCTTGGATTCGCCCCCAGGCCTTTTCGACGCTGCGTCTGGATCCTGCAGGGGCCACTGGGTCTTCTTGGGGTCGCCCCGAGGTCATCTTCGTGTCCGTCTGAGGGCGTCGTGGAACCATCTTGGGGCCATGGGGCCGCCCAGGCATCCTGTCTGGGTCATCTGGAGGTCTTCCGTGTTTTCAAGGCAACTTTCGCCTAAGTAACCGGCCCAAGACTGACAACCCTTCTCCGACTGCGAGTCGCCCGGAAACCCCGACCTCCGTTTCAGCACAGCGCCATGGGCTGGACTGGAACCTAAGCGCGCGAAGCGCGCGCGTAAATATGTATGTGTGTATATATATATATGTATGTATGCAATTTTGGGTCTAAAAATTATATGTAGGAGGACATGCCCGACCTAATCCTAGCCGCAGGCACGGATCAGCTCTGACGGGAGTTTCGAATCGGTGGGTCGTCGGTGAATCCGGCGTTGCGTGCCAAGTATGTGCGGTCTGCCGTCCCTTGGAGGCCTCCGCGGTAGCTTCGCGGGGCCTCCGAGGCGGGGGGGGGTGCCTTCGCCTCTTGCCGCGTGCAGGCTTCCTCCTGTGCTTCCCTCGGGCAGATGGCTCCATGACGCGGGTTCTCTGCGAGGGTTCTCCCGAGTTTTGCCGCTGGCCCCCTTCGTTATCTGTGCGAAGCCGTTCGGGGCCCTGCCGCCGCGAGGGTGTGATTCTTGAGGCCAGCGGAGCACGCGCAGCCTCCATTACCAGCCTGGAACATATGCCTGTCCCTATGCCGGGCACCTCCTCATCGCGATGCCAATCTTAGGGATCCCCTTATTTTTTGAGGGCGAATCCCTAAGATTGTCATCGCCTTTTGGCGTGTCAATCTTAGGGATAGGGATACGTTCGAGGCTGGTAACTCCAGCTCTGCCAGCCTCTCCCGGGCGGCCGGCAGGGCTCTCGGGCAGCGGCCCGCACAAAGCAATGCAGAGCACGTGGACGTCGTCCAATTTGGGCGCTCCCTCGACCTAGACGTGCCCCGTGCCATTCTTCAAGGAGGAGGAGGAGGAGGAGGAGGAGGAGGAGGAGGAGGAGGAGGAGATGAAGGACAACGGCGAGGACATTGGGATTGCTGCCTGTCTGTCTGGAATCCGCTTCCATTTCGCAATGCTTTATATCGGGAAGTTCAGGCCAGGCGGCTGCGCTTTGAACTGCATCCCGCAGACTTACTCAAGCCACTTGCAGCCGCAAGGTTGCCCAGATTCTGCTCGGGCCCATCGCAGGTGCCCTTTTGCTCCAGCGGACATGGCCAAGCCGCTTACAGCTGCAAAGTTGGCCAGATTCTGATCGGGCCCATCGCAGGTGCCCTATGGCTTCTTCGGAATATCATGAATCATGATCCTGACAGGGTGACATGGTAGTGGTAGCCAGATGCTGGAGACCCCATTCGAGCTGGGTGCTTGACTTCAACGCACGCCGCTGCAAGCCTACCCCTGCTGCTTTCCTTGCGCCACGTCGAGAGTGAGTGGGGGCCGCACTCCCCACAGTACAATAGCTCCGACAGCAGGGCTGATCTTCAGAAAGGGAATTTGAAGAGCGCCAATTCCAAAATAATGGTTTGCTCGTTGACCGGTATGTGCCTTCTCCCCGTCTCCGTCCCTTCTCAGTGCGCCGTCGTTCATCGTTCTTGCTGCACGTGCTCCGCCAGTCGGTGTGACAGCACTTGCATTCTGTTTCTTGACCGGCATGCCTGCTTCCGGACGTCGCGAGCAAACCAAAAAATGACTCCCAAGAGGGGTTCAAGAGGCTAAATGGCCCCGCTTCTTTCGGAAAGCGTTTCTGTTTAGAATATTCGTCCCTGGAGCCTTCAGAGCATCCAAGACGGCCCGCGAGGCCTCCAAGAGCGCCCCGAGACAGCCCAAGAAGCTCCCTCCAGGGCTACAAGACGGCCTAAGAGAGCCCCAAGGCTCAAGATGCCCCCAAGACAGCCCATGAAGGCCCCAGGACGGCCCCAAGAAGGGGCCCAGAGAGGGGACCCGAACGGATATTTCAAGCCTTCGACCCCAAGACGCCCCCAGGAGGCACCAGGACCTCCCCCCAAAACCCCCAAGAGGGCGTCTTGGAGGCTTCTTGGGCCGCCATGGGGCCATCTTGGAGGTCCCGTGAGCGATTGTGGGGCGATCTCGGAGGCCTCTTGGGCTGTCTTGAGGTCTTCGGAAGGCCGAAAAGAAGCAAATGCCAAAATCCTTCAAAACCTAAGGAAAGCCAATGATTTGGGCGTCGTCGGGCCCTCCCCGAGGATCTTTTGGAGGCGTCTTGGGGGGCTCTTGGGGGCCTCTTGGGCCGTCTTGAACCATCTTGAGACTACCTTAGGCCGTCTTGGAGGCATCTTGGGCCATCTTGAGGCATCTTGGGGTCATCTGAGCCGTCTTGAAGGCCATGTTGGCCGTCTTGGAGGCGTCGTGGAGGCCATCTTGGGCCGTCTTGGAGCCGTCTGGAGCAGGAAAAACCCTTGGCAACCGGCTCCGGGGAAGCCGGGTAATCTTTCTGGCCGGCCGGCGGGACGGGCCGAAGCCCCAGGGGGAGTTCTTTTGGAAAAACAGAAAACAGATCCGAAAGGATCTAGCACGCCGGGCACCCCTGTGGCAAGCCAACAGGGGGCGGCGGATCCGAGTGGCTTTGGGCCTATCCCGCCACCGTGCCTGGGTTGTGGGTCCGAGGCCTCTTGCATATGTGTTGGGGTGTCGTGGGAAGCCTTTCGGGCGCTTCTTGGAGGCGGTTTGGGCGCCTCTTGGGGGCCTTTTGGGGCATCGGGGGGTACCTTTTGCGGAGGCCTCTTGGGAGCGTCTTGGGCGCCTCTTGGGGCCTCTTGGCGGCCTCTAGGGGCCTCCTTGGGTCTTCTCGGCGCACACGTTTAGAAATTTCGGTTCGTGGTCCCCTGCTTGGGCACCTCTTCGGGCCGTCTTGGGGCCCCCTTGGGCCGTCTTGAGCGCTTCTTGGGACATCTTGGAGCCCTCTTGGGCCGCCTTGGGGCCCTCTTGGAGGGCTCTTAGGCTGTCTTGGGGCGGTCTTGGGAGCTTCTTGAGCCGTCCTGGAGCGTCGGAAAGCCGAACATGCGAGAAGGCCAACATCCTTCAAAACCCTTCGTCAAATCGACCATTTGGGCCTCCTGGGGCTCTCTCGGGAAGCCTCTTGGAGCGCTCTTGGGGCCTCTCGCTCGGGGCCCTCTGGGGCCGTCTTGGAACCATCTTCGGGCGCCCTGGGGCAATCTTGGTCTCGGCAATGCTAACACGGCGCACTTTGCGAAGGTTTGTGGATTCGGGGGCGCGGCTATTGCGTAACTTTCGGGTGTTTGCTGCTTCGGGGACGTAAGAACTGTTTACTTTGCAAGGGTGTATGGCCTCGGAAACGCGAGCATTGAGTAATTTACGAGGGAATGGCCTCGGGGGCGCGATTCTAATGTATGTCTACTTGTCCCACGCCCCCCCCGGGAATTCAGAGCACGCGATCCGAGGGTGGTAAATTGCTGCTTTGGGACTTCACCCCCTCGCGCGGACTTCAACAATTTACAATGGGAGGCAGAAAGCAAGACTGTCACATTGGAGACTTGAAGCTGCAATTGGCGCAGGGAGCAGCAACCTCGTCCTACAGCCTGGTGGCCCCACAAGGGGGCCAGCGGATTATTATGTTGCTGATGCTGATGCTGATGCTGATGCTGATGCTGGTGCTGATGCTGTTGCTGCTGCTGCTGATGACGATGGTGGTGGTGGTGGTGTTGGTGATGATGGTGAGGATGCTGGTGATGATGATGGGGATGATGGTGATGAGAGTGATGCTAAGGCTGAATCGGAGGAGGACGCTGAGGAGGATGACGAACAATGGTAGGGTGAGGATGGAAAGATGAGGAGGAGTAGGAGGAGGAGGCGGAGGAGGAGGAGGAGGAGGCGAGAGGACGGCGAACATGAGGAT